CAGCTACTTAACAACTCAGTAAGACTTCCAGGAGAAACAAGGAACAAGTACTGATTCCAGGGGCCAAAACACCACGCTGAACTTCAGGGGGTTTCTGAATCAACTGAAAATAAAAACTTGGGTTACAGGAATGAGTCATGCCCATTATTTACCACCAGAAGCTACAAGCCAGAAAAACCAGTTAGTCTTATTACCTTATTTTTGAGGGAATTTCTCTTGAGGCAATCTCTGTAAATGTCAGGTTCTACACTTGTACAATCTTATATATACACATCTGGAAAAAAAACAATGAACTAACACTGTATATGTTTTTCAACAATGGCGCACTGTTCCATTGTGTTGTCTAGCAGGGCTGGACATAAGGAAGGAAATAAACACAGAGGCAGAAATCAAGTAAATGGAAAATAGCAAAACAATACGGAAAATTAATGAAATAGACAGCTGGCTTTTTGGAAAGATAAATAATACATATAAACCCCTAAAAAGACCGAGAACACAGGGAGGATACACATTACCATGAAGAAAGTAGCAAAAACTATCAGGAATAAAACAGACTATACCACTTATGACCCCACAGACATCAAAAAGATCATAAAGGAATGTTATGAACAACAAAATTTGACAACTTAGATGAAACTGATCAATTTCACAAAGTACCACAACTCATACAATATGAAATACATAGCCTGTGGTTATATAGCTTAAAAATTCCTGAGAAAAGCTCTGGTGTGGTGGCATGTGCCTGTAATCCCAGCACTGGGGAGGCTGAGACAGGAGGATCACTACAACTCCATAGTAAGACCATGTACCAAATACATAAAACAAAAAAGTTCCTAAAAAAGAATTCTCCAGGCCTAGATGGTTTCCCTGGAAAATTCTTCCAAAAGGTCAAGGAAAACACCAATTCTACACAATTTCTTCCAGAAAAATAAAAGATGGGAATATGTCCCAACTCATGCTATGAGTTCATACCACACAGATATCAAAATCAGACAAAAGCAGTACAAAAAAAAAAAGAACTACTACTTGGGGCCGGGGAGATGGCTCAGTAGAATAAGCGCTTCCCTGGCAAGTGCAAAGGCCTGAGTTCAATCCCGTTCTAAAAAAAAAAAAAAAAAAAATCT